AAACCCCCTCATGTCTCCAGATGAAATGCAAGATTCTGCAAGGGATCACTATTAGACAGGGGCGCAGCCAGGGGTGTGTGTGTGTGTGGGGGGGGGGGGGGTTACGGTTGCGATTCACCTAAGGCTTTCTCTAACAGACAGAACCGATTAATGTGAAAATCTTCGTTTTATGGTATTTTACTCTTACTGCGCCAATCATATGTGATCAATTCCTAATTTTGCATGAAGCACATCAGCACAGTTTTTTTCAATTCTGAAATGTCACAGGTTATCTATGCGAACTTATTGATTTTTTAATTATAAGACGAGAATACAACAGACACGATAGGAATTTAAATGCTTAAAAAAGTCGATGATCAGCTTTATAAAATTTTAATTCCGAGGTCAGTAATGATCATATTGTTTGCTTAAAACTGGTACCGTAATTAAAAAACTGTGATATTAAATATCAGAATAAAATTAATTTGTGTTGTGAATTCACTCCTTATATGATAGCTGCATTTAACATTTTTGCTGATGTGAACTCACAGTTCTGCCTGAAATATGAAAGCCAAACTTCGATGTCAGCCGTTGCGTAAAAATTGATACTTGTGTATTAAAAAGGTCCTTTATTGATACAGTTTATTACCATTAAGGTCGGCCCCCAAATAGATCACGATGACGGTGTAAAAAAATTCTGCGTTGTTACAGAGTTTTCAGATTTCAATAAATTTTCTAAAGGAGTTATCTACAATACTCGTTTTCCGATAATCGTTGAAAATATTTGAATATTAAAAAAAAAGATTTTGTTCATCACTAATCACATCATATAAAATCGACATAACTAACATTAAAATAAAAGTTCAAAAATAGTTTCACATCTCATGCCCATTTAATCGATGCTACATGCGAGTACATTGTTTTTGTTCATATAAACTATTATAATGCCACTGACATCCGTATATTTGTATTTCTCTTTCAAAATTAAATTGAAGTTCGAAATTAGTTTGAGAACCACTGGCATATATCATTTGTTCAGTTTCTATATTGATGTCGTTTCTAAATTGTCTAGATTCCACGCAACAATCTGGAATTTACTCAACACAGATTCGCTGTGAACTGCACACAATTTTTAGTTTGTAAACACCTTGTGACATTGTTGGTACAAAAATCCTGGCTGCGCCCCTGCTATCAGATGACATCCTACAAGCTGACTAAGCCAAGTTCGCTACCCTCAAGACATGGTAGCTGTTTGAATAAGATTCTTAAAATACATATGCAATCAAATGCAGCCCACCTGACCTATACCTCGGAAATGCAGTGGCTGTAAAAGCAATGATCACAATTCATTAAACCAGCGGAGAAACTACAGTGCAGAGCATTCTGCAAAACAAGAGAGAAATGTAGCATGACGAATCACCTTGCAACAGTGTATCGACAGAAGGATCCCGCAGTGGAGTTAGCAGCATCTGCTAACCATTCTGAACAGAGAAACAACATAGCAGAGACCATAATAATCAATGCCACCATAACAGCCCATGATGGTTGTCTACGCCACAAACATATTTCTACATATACAGCAGTGGAGCCAACATATGTCTTACATCATTAGGCCTTCTAAATACATTCGGTCTACACCAATGTAATCCAACACCATGTAAGGAAGTTATGCAAACTGTCGAAAATTTTCGAATGGCCTGTCACGGCTCGGCTGTGGGGTGCATGAATACGCTCGCCACCGCACCTCTGATTACCATCTGTGAGTTCACAAGTTCGAATCCTCTACAGGATGGCTATGTGTGAGAGGAATGCTGGACTTCTCACCGCCGCAGGTTGGTTCATGTTATCGCTGGTCGGTTGTAGCTTCCTTCACCATCAAGTCCATGCTTCTGAAAACAAAATAACTGGCTAACTAATGCCATACCCAACATGGACTGGTAACCGGACGAGAGGCTATGGTTCACCATATGATTAAGCTGTCTTATCGGCTTTCCGGTCCCCCTGGATAAATATGTAAACCTGATCCGATATGCTTCCATGCCACCATGTAATTCTCTGGCAGCAAGTTCACAGACAAAATTTGGTGCTGCGAAGCATGTGCACCAAGATGGCGCACAACCTGAACATAGTTAGGATTCAGGTTGTGCATCATTTTGGTGCACATACTTCTGGAGCACCTAAAATTGTATATTTGTTCCAATATTATGCCTGAACAAACATAACTGCATTGAACTCAACAACCTTCCAAATTTCGATGGATGCCATCTAATCACTATCATTAGGACATTGATAAAATCATCATTCAGGGTAAGATATAACAGCACTGTTCACAGCTGCATTAAGCAGCAAACACATCAAACCCCAACCCCCAGCCTGCTTACCTTAATAGTTATCTAAAAACAATCTATGCGCAAAACTAAGAACCTATAAAGGATTCTTAGCCAAAAGCACTTTTAGTAACACTGGTGCATTCCGTCATAGGATGAGGGAACAACTACCTAACCTATGAAGAAAATCCACCGGTGTTATTGAAAGTGCTTAGTTTTTTCGTACAGACTGTTTTCAGGTAGCTAAAAAGGCAAGCATACTGGTTGTTCGGGGTAAGGGGTACGCTGTGTTTGCTGTCTAATACAGCTATGAACAGTGATGTTCTGCCCTACCTTGAATGATGATTTATCAATTTCCTGATGATAGTGATTGGCTGACATCCATTGGAATTGAGAAGGATGTTGAGTCCAATGCATGTATCTCTGCTCGGGTATAATTATGGGACAAATATACAGTTTCGTCTGTGAACTGGCCGACTCATCAAGAAATGTACGGTGGCATGGGAAGTGATGGGCCAATCCAAAGTTTTTGACTGTTCGCACAACTTTCTTACATAGTGTTAGATTACATTGTTGTAGACCAAACATATAAAGAGGATAATTCTGCAAAATATATACTGGTTACACTGTCTGGATATGTAGAAATACATTTGTCTGGTAAGACGACCATCATGGCTGTGGTGACATTGATTATGATCTCTGTTATGTTGTTTTCCGTTCAGAATGATTAGCAGATGCTGTTAACTCCATTGCAGAATCCTTTTGCCAACACACTGTTGCAAGGTGATTCGTTATGCCACATTTCTCTCAGGTTCTGCAGAATGCTTTGCAATGTGGTTTTCTTCTGATCGAATGAACTGCGTTAATTGCTTCCACAGTCATAGCATTTTTGAGGCATAGGTTTGGTGAGCTGCCTTTGATTGCATCTCTGACCTCGAAACTGAAACTTTATTGTCAGAAAATGGGTTGAAAAGTTAGAAGACAATACATCAAAAAAAAAATATGTAAAGATTGATGATCAATGCTAGAAAATAGTGTCCTGGACATAGTCAGCTTATAGATGAAAGTGAAACATGTGTCATATATATGTCCATCCACTTGTGGTTGATTTATCTTTGGCTACGGATTATTTTAATTAGACTGTAGCACTGTGTGACACCTACATATGGTGGATGAAGTTACTCAACAGAGCACCGTAGTTGTCATTAATAACAAAAAGACTTCAACAATCGTTGAAAAATTTACGGAGACCTGGATTTGCATATTTGAAAGGACCCAACCAAGTACATTCTGATCATTGTGAAGAACTCAATTCGGCAGGAACTAAGCGTAGTCGAAATGTTGGTATCAAAATTTTCTTTACTCCAGTATATTTTTTTAGAGCAATTGATTATGTTAGCGTTATAAAAGGCTTACCGTACTTCTGAAATTTGTCCTATTACAGTAAAAGATGAAAATGATTGAGAAACAGCACTTGCCCAGGAAGTTAGTACTAAAAATAGTCAATACTAAGGTTTCAGCCCTAACCTACTTATTATTGGTAGAAACATCTGCTGACTACCATCTATTATTCATGGAAATTCTTTCAAAACGAATGACTACTAGAATGTATGTAGCAAAACATGTAATAGCATTATCCATATTGCTCGCAAAGCATTTATTGAGTCTGGGCTATTAATAAATAAAGCATTCCTGCTTGTAAAATATTTTTAAGATTACATCACATATCAACCTCAACACCACTATTTGTACAAGTGGTTCCTAAATGAACTACGTACTTGCAGAATGAAACGACCTCTTACTGCAGCTATACAACCAGTATACAAGAGAACCACCAGAACTTCACCCAAGAATAACAGTTATTATGATAAAAGTGTTTTTCATGCCGATAGTGAATTTAAATTTTGTAACAGAAATGTATTTTTCCATAATTTTGACCTTATATCTGCCCACCCAGGATTTTCAAAAACGGGGGTTTCAAAACCAGAAATTCCCATTCCATTCGGAAACTATAACCATGATTATGCATTCGCTAAAAGAGACAACTTTTTTAGCATATACCGACTAAAATACCCTTTGTTGACATAAAAATATGAAAAAAAATGCCCAATTATATTTAGTTTTGGTCTTTATATTTGCGATTATGCGATTCACTTCTACCATTTATTTATTTAGTTTCAAATACACAAAAGTATCATCAGAACATTCCCATGGACTAGCAGTGAAACTCTCAAGCGACATTTACAGAACAGCAATTACCAAAAATATCTTTACCGTTGATATAGACATTAACTGTAAGGGTCCAGAGTTGGATCAATATCCAATTATCATCATATGGCTATGTGTAAGCCATCCTACCTATGAGAATGACTGGCGCATTGCGACATGTTTTAAATATATATTTTTTTATCTTACACTACGATAGAATAGGTCAATAAAGACCTGGACGCGGTTTCATCACTTTCAGTACCTGAATTTGACAGCCAAGGTAAAAAACTCATATAGAATTAGGTATTTTTGAAATTTAAAACTTTACAATCATGCCTTGTCGACAGATCACAGCATTGATTAATAAAAACAGCAGGATTTAAGAAAAACTTACCACTCTACAGGAAAATATTATTCTTTGAATTTTACCACATAGATACTTTGTGAGGATTAATTGTCATCTTGGAATTGAAAGACGTTGTTGTCTTTTTCATATCATGCAAGTGCTTTATTTATTATCAATACCATACAAAAATAATTTTAAATTCATTCTGGTCTTTAGGGTGTAGATGTAATATATCTGCAAGAAAATATTATATTCATTAATGAAAAGTTGGAAAATAGTTGAAAATGAAATACTAAATCATACTTTAGTTCTGTCCAACAAAATTATGTTCATTTTCGCGACACACCCATTGGGAACCGCTGCTATAGACATTAACTGTAAATTTCCAAATATGGACCTTTCCCCGGACCTTCCGACCCCCGGAATGATTCTTCCTATACTTATCATTGCAGAACTTTCCAGGGCTATTCTAAAGAGGCTTATGCGAGTTGTGCACCTGTGAAATGGCTTATGTGTTTTAAAACCATGCATTATGATTGCATCGCATACAACAATCTGTTTTTATAAATGGTACCGGTAAGAGATTAGCCACTCTATCTACAGCTATTTCTGAGAGCTAATTTTTGGTGATTATTGCAATTAAATTGAAACTGCCTAGGGAATGACAGAGTGGATCATTGAATTATCTGACTTTATTATTTTTTAAGTTTTGGGCTTGAAACACAACTGAAAACTAAACGATAGAGCTCGAAGAAACGCGAAAACGAGGTAAGTGTTCGCACCACGCTTCGAAAATCCTGTCTGAGTGGAGAAAAGTGTCCTGAGCGATTGCGAAAAGGGAGCATTGTTTACGAGTCATTTTTTGTATCTTTGCTGATTGGCCAATGTCACGAAGTAAAACAAGGAAGTCGATGCCGAGGGAGAGGTCCAATATGGCTCCGGAGTTTGGATCAATATCAATCATCATGATATGGCTATGTGTTAGCCATCCTATCTATGATGACTGGCGCATTGTGACCTGTTCTAAATATATATCTTACACTATGATAGAATAGGTCAATAAATAGCTGGAAGTACTATCAACACTTCAAGTACCGGTACCTGAATTTGACAGCTAAGGTACAAAAACTCAAACTGGGTTGGATATATTTGAATTTTGAAACTTTACAAGCATGCCTTGTTGACAGATCACAGCATTGATTAATAAAAACAGCAGGATTTAAGAAAACTTACCACTCTACAGGAAAATTTAATTCTTTGAATTTTAACCATAGATACTTTGTGAGGATTAAATGTCGTCTTGGAATTGGAAGACTTTGTTGTTTTTTAATACTATGCAAGTGCTTAATTTATTCTCAATACCATAAAAAATAATAATATACTATACCTTGTTTGGTGTCTGGGTTTTTTCCTGATACAGTAGGTATCATCTGTGCGTCTGGAGTCATCACTGTCAGTGTGTAATATGTCGACAGCTGAATGAAATATATATATTCTATATAAGTTGCAATTATTTGATCGTTGGCAATGAAATTAAGCGCAGGTGTCAAACGTTTCGAGAGTTTTAGTGAAGTGAAAATTTGTAAATTTCAATAAGTCTCATGTTGACCGAAAATTCTCCATAGACAAATGAGGTTTGTTTTTTATTCTGGAGTCAAAATTTCCATCAACTCGAAATTTTTTTAGGAGAGTAGATTTTAAATGGTCCAGAATTTAGAGTTTTGAGTCGGGTACTCTGCTTGTAAAAAACAAAAATTTTTGCTATAAAACTGACTTACCGTTAGGTAAAGTGACAGTTGTCAACTCACTGACAGCTGATGACTCTGTGATAAATGATACCTCTCTGACAGATGACGACCCATTGATCGACGATAGGTCCGTGACAAACGGCACCTCAGTGACAATTGGCAACTTAGTGATGGTAGCAGATGGAGATAGATATTTTCTGCAAGAAATTATTATATTTATTGATGAAAAGATGGAAAATGGTTGAATATTTGACTTTATGATCAAAAATATTATTTGACTGCAGAATATCTAAAATGTTAAAAAGGAAAAATGCATAACTAGTACCACTATGAAAGCAAAAGAATGTCAATTAGTCAAAACATTCCATTTTGTCCCCAAATTTATGAATCTGCATTATTGAATATAAATCATTTGAGATGTATCCATACATGAGCAAACTTAGAAACCTTTTGGAACAATTGTAATCCTCTTTAATAACATAATATTTTGGCTAGTGGTCCCAACCTTCGTCTATTTTAGAACTTTTTTTATTTTTTAATGAAAAGAACTCGACTTATTTATGGGTGTTGGTTTTCAAATTCGTTTGAAATAGTACCGCTATTAATAAATAATACGCTGACACTGATTTCTCGTAACAAAACAAGCAAATAGATATGTTTTGTGTTTGTTTAAAATATTTTTTACAATAACGAAATTTACCCCCAAGAATGAAGAAATTTACCCCCAGGGGTAAATTTTCCCCAGGTTAAGAAATGCTGCATTAGTCGGAACTAGTCAAAAAGGAAATCATTGTAAATGAACACACAGTAAAACCCAAAAAACATTTTTTTGAGAAACAAATATATTGATCTAAGACGCATCAACATTTGACAATTAAGCATAAATCTCAATCTCTTCATCATTAAATACTGTTTTTAGTATTTACTAACAAAACAAACAATTTTATAATGATTTAAAGTCTCAGTAGCTCAATCTCCTATATTTCTAAATGAGTGTCTGTGGCCTTAATTGAGAAATTTAAATCTTATAAATTTTCACTATTTCAGCTGCTATAATATTAGTATTTTTGTGGTATAATTGATATTAGTGCATTTTCAGCTCTTGGATTTTTTGCCAACAAAATTGGGAATTGTCCTAATGATCCCACTCTCATGTTTTTGTGTTAGTTTTATAAGGAATGAACATGAATGCTTACGATACTGTATTTTCTGCCTAATAAGTCTTTTTTTTTGTCTAATTTTTTTTTGGGGGGGCGTCTTGTTGGACGACTATTCTTACTTCCTTCGATGGGTTCGGCTTATACTTCTCAAACATGATTTATGTGAGCTCAATATATGGGTTGATATATTTTATAACATATTCACGGAGGTCAAAGTTTCTGTCAATCAAGATTATTTAATTGACTTTGTAGCGCCAGCAGTTACTTGTCTCATTCCTTTAAAAACATGGCATGCAGTAACTATCACACCATATCATGGGTTATTTCAGTTTATGTATTGTTCAAAATGATTAAAATTACCCCTTATTGGTAAAAATAATGCTGTGAATATTATTCTACCTGAAATAAACAAGACCTGGTTCCAACCATATAAAATTATTGATACATATTACTGACCCACTAAGACGAACTTTTTCTTCCCATCTTTTTGTCTTATTGGATGGCTATATGGAAAACCCTCTTTTTCAGTGCTAAATTTAGGCTTAGCCTCTTAGATCTCTTTATTGGGAAATACGGTATTTGTTTTATGTGTGTCTTTTCCAATTTTATTAATCCCAGGAAATTCGAGAATTATATGGTGAAAATCACAGAAAATCTAGATTTTAAATCTGGCTCCGAAATAGCAACTCTGATATGAACACGAAGGCTAAAATGAAGTAGCAGAAGTATGCAATGTGCTCTAACACAGATTCCCACAAACTTTTGGGCCGTGAACCCTTGTTTGTAAATCTTGTTTTTGACGGACCCCCATCTTATGCTGTATCATTGAACCTGAATCAATACATTCTAGGGCAATTCGATAGGATTATGATTAATTTGCCCCCGATATCTGGGATGTCGGTACTAATTGAACACTTAGAACGAATTTAATTCTGTATATTACTGGTGTAGTCTGACACAATTAACTTAATTTTTTTACTTCAATTGTTAAGGTTTTGTAACAATTATGATACGAGACTGTGTGAACTTATGTTTTATCTCGTTCATGAATGTCTATGTGACAGTGGATATACGTTAAAATGTATGTGTCAGATTTATAATATGTTGCGGACCCCTGTGCAGTTATCCCAGTCCGCAGACACTAGTTTGGGAATCCCTACTATAACATACATACAACTGATAGGAATTCTTTATAAATATTTCCGATTGTTTTGTATGAAAAAAGAAGTTAGGTAGTTCAACACCAATTCTCAAAGAATTATGTTTGACTAACGAGGTATCACTGTATACTAAAAACAACCCAATTACCAACTCATTACTGAAATCAGTGAAAAAACAAAGTAATATAAATGAATACCTGACATATGATGGCCAATCCACTCTGCAAACAAGTTCCAATTCGTCATTAATTTTTTTTCCTTGCAGTACCGCTGTGAAAAATTTAAAATTGAATAGGTTTTTGGTTTCAAAATTGTGGTTCACATTCAATTCCAAATAGTGTGAACTTCACTGTGTTATTTACACGATTTAGTCATAACTTTAGTAATGCAAATTTTCATAAATTATTACTGATAAACGAATATCAGAGTAAATGAACATATAGAGAAATATCATATTGAATGTATCCAATTTCAACCATATTTGAGGAATTGATTTATATTTGACATCACATGAGGGACAGCCTGGTCAAAAAGATTTCGAGGGTGCAATGGCAGTTAAAGTGTTGAATTTAACGACGTGGGAAAAAATTGGGTAGGTAATACAGAACCAGAAAGTTTGTGGTCTTTCAGAAAACAGTAGTCCCTTACACATTCTTAGATATCAGTGGATGCTTGCTCTGTGACCTTTATTTGTGATTACCAAAGGCTGAACTTTAGATTCGAGTTACACATATTTTTGTAATATTTGTGAGTTCAACTGGCAAAATGTTTTTCCTTTCACTTCATCAAATCGGTAAATTTTATGTCCTTATATTGAAAATACTTACGTTGAAAATTGGCTCGTTCCAACATTTGTCTCACGGTGGGTTTGTGAATTTTTGGTGCAGCTGCGCTGTTACTGCAAAGAAGCATTAGATAATAATGACTATACATTTTTAATCACCAAGGTGGAGTATTAAGTTTGCTAACTTGAATTCTGAAATTTGTTTCTCAGTTTTCAGTGCAAATGATCAAATAAAACATATTACTAATTAACTGAGGTGCATATCAGATGTATGTACTCAAGTATAGCTTGGTGGTTCTTATCAAGGATGATTAACTTATTAGCTAGTTTTGTTAGCACTGATAAAAATAGCTAGAGTGAAGTTCCATCTAACTAAAATACATTGTAATTATATTATTTGCTTTGGCCTTGCAAGATCACTTATAAACATTTGTCCTGCGATACTTGAAAACTTATGTGAACATCAGAAAGCAATTTTTTTTCAATAGAGTTTTCCAACTTTTCCCAAAGAAAAGTTTCCTACTTTTGTCTACTAGATGTTTTTGTCTCGTAAACCAAAAAAATATATATCTGAATCGCTTTTCCTTCCCAAATTTCTCTAAGAGGTTATATGAAATCTTTACCTTGAGTCATGCTGTATGAAACTGTTTTGCTTCTGAAAATCAAGTACAAATAAAATTTAACTACATACCAACAGATATGAAGCACAGCTGCAAAATTTACTATTATGGTAATCTTCTTGAACAAAATTCCAATACTGAGTACTAAATGTGACCTGAATTTTTCTTATCCAAACAAATCATTTAAATAAAAACTAAGCATCATCCAATACAAACAAACCCTAGTCAGATATTCATATAAAAATTTACTATTTAGTTCATTTAATTTTTCAAAAAACAGAGAACATGTAGAATCACCATTTACCTTAAAGACTAGTTTCTGGACTCATGCTTATTGCTCACAATGACAATTTCAGTAAATGTGAATGCACTGAAGTATCGGTTGAAACAACAATTTAACGTAGAAAATATGTAATATTTGTCTCATTGAAAAACTTGGGACTACATTTGGCACAAGTGGGCAGAGCAATAGGATAAACGTTGGGGTTCAAATCTTGCTAGAAATTTCAAGAGTTTTTTATATCTTCAGAATAGAAAATATCAATTTAGATGAATTAGATGTTTATAAACTCACCGGTATAGATGTTTTCTTGTATCCTGTAAACAAATACCAAAACAGAGGAACAATGATTACTGTTATGCAGATAAACAATAGTGGAAAGTAATACCTATACTGGTAGTTGAAGTTTTACATTCAACTGTTGAATTGAATCAAATATTATCACACTTTCTATGTAAACGCCATTCTCCCTTTGGTTTTAAATATAAAATTCTTACTACCAATGTATATTTCAGTCTAATACTGGGAAACATTTTTGCTAATGGGCCATACAACCAACTTGAGACATCTAGCTGGGCCACACAAAATATTAATTTTTTCCATGCTCACAAGTCACAACGAATTGAAAAATTCTAAAAATGAAAAAGGCTATCACTTAGCCCAGGGGTCGGGAACCCATGGCTCGCGAGCCATATATGGCTCTTTTGGTGACGGCATATGGCTCTCAGAAAAATCTAATATCCCAAGACTAAGCTTACTATTGTTACGAGATTTCAAATTCTTTTATAGCCAAATTTGGCAGGAAATTCCCAATACGTTTGAGAATGCGCGTCCAGCACATGTCTATGTTATGTAAGATAATTACCAGACAGGCATTGTGACAAACAAGGGGATTCTGGAACATATATTGTGACATCACAGAGCGATAGAGTTTTCAAACACTACGGAGATGCCTCAACGAAAAAGGGTGATGAGTATCGAAGATTTCCACATTGGGCTGCAGGTGAGCAACCGTTCAAGGCCCGCAGCGACTACATGCAGCATCAGAAATCACATTAAATGTATATTGACATTGTATGTGTTGATTTTTGAGTGAACATTTCAGGCCTGATTAAGTGAAGAAATGTTATATGGCTCGCACGGAAATGCAATTGAAGATATGTATATTTTATGGCTCTCTTGACCTAAAAGGTTCCCGACCCCTGACTTAGCCTTACAGTAATAAAGGCATCAGTCAAAACCACGAAAGATTTCACGTAGTGACAAGAGCAAATACTATTCTGTTTTCATACCAATGTGAGCTGAGCGCCTTTCTAAGCACAAACTGTCGAGCGTAGACAAGAGTCATACTATATGGCTTACCTCAACGCTCATTTCAATATGAGTGTTGAGTGGAAATTGATGCACAAACTTTATTTGTAATTACCATGAACTGAACTTCAGTTTAGAGTTAAACACACTTACATTTCGGGGGCCAGCCAGCTGGGGGTGGGAGGATTTTGCGGTCTACGAGAGTCAACACACATATTTGTAATATTTGTGAGTTCAACTGGCAAAATGTTTTTCCTTTCACTTCATCAAATTGGTAAATTTTATGTCCTTATATTGAAAATACTTACGTTGAAAATTGGCTCGTTCCAACATTTGTCTCACGGTGGGTTGGTTGCTTTTTGGTGCAGCTGTCCTGTTACTGCAAAGAAGCATTAGATAATAATGACTATACATTTTTAATCACCAAGGTGGAGTATTAAGTTTGCTAACTTGAATTCTGAAATGTGTTTCTTAATTTTCAGTGTAAATGATAAAATAAAACATATCAGTCATACTAATTTACTGTCATAACTAATTTTAACCAAAAAAATATATATCTGAATCGCTTTTCCTTCCCAAATTTCTCTAAGAGGTTTTATGAAAAACTTTACCTTGAGTCATGACGTATTGAACTGTTTTGCTTCTGAAAATCAAGTACAAATAAAATTTAACTACATACCAACAGATATGAAGCACAGCTGCAAAATTTACTATTATGGTAATCTTCTTGAACAAAATTCCAATACTGAGTACTAAATGTGACCTGAATTTTTTCTTATCCAAACAAATTATTTAAATAAAAACTAAGCATCATCCAATACAAACAAACCCTAGTCAGATATTCATATATAAATTTACTATTTTTCAAAAAACAGAGAACATGTAGAATCACCATTCACTAGTTTCTGGACTCATGCTTATTGCTCACAATGACAATTTCAGTAAATGTGAATGCACTGAAGTATCGGTTGAATCAACAATTTAACGTAGAAAATATGTAAAATTTGTCTCATTGAAAAACTTGGGACTACATTTGGCACAAGTGGGCAGAACAATAGGATAAACGTTGGGGTTCAAATCTTGCTAGAAATTTCAAGATTTTTTTATGTCTTCAGAATAGAAAATATCAATTTAGATGAATTAGATGTTTTATAAACTCACCGGTATAGATGTTTTCCTGTATTCTGTAACCAAATAGCAAATCAGAGGAACAATGATTACTGCTATGCAGATAAACAATTGTGAAAAGTAATACCTATACTGGTAGTTGAAGTTTTACATTCAACTGTTGAATTGAATCAAATAGTATCAAACTTTCTATGTAAACACCATTCTCCCCTTGGTTTTAAATATAAAATTCTTACTACCAATGTTTATTTCAGTCTAACACTGGGAAACATTTTTGCTGATGGGCCTACAACCAACTTGAGACATCTAGCTGGGCCACACAATATATTAATTTTTTCCATGCTCACAACAAATTGAAAAATTCTAAAAATGAAAAAGGCTATCACTTAGCCTTACAGTAATAAAGGCATCAGGCAAAACCACGAAAGATTTGACATAGTGACAAGAGCAAATACTATTCTGTTTTCATACTAATGTGAGCTGAGTGCCTTTCTAAACACAAACTGTCGTTTTAGAATGTTATGCTAAAATCTGAGTGTAGACAAGGGTCATACTATATGGCCTACTTCAACGCTTATTCCAATATAAGTGTTGAGTGGAAATTGATGCACAAACTTTATTTGTAATTACCATGAACTGAACTTCAGTTTAGAGTTACACACACTTACATTTCGGGGACCAGCCAGCTGGGGGTGGGAGGATTTTGCGGTCTACGAGGGTCAACACTATTTTGAGAAAGTGAGACAGGTAAATAATTTATTCTATGAGAATTTCTCCAAAATTTCAAGCGAATATTATTTTGGTCATGTAGAAATACCAATATTGATTTGTTTTAGTATCAGTATTATAACTCAAAGTTGAGTTGCATTATTAATCAATTATCAGTTTCATAAATATCCGCATCTGGTTATTGAATTGATAATAATGTTTCATTCAAATTAGGACCCTAATTTACAAACTGTGATATGGAAGGTCAAATCCTACGCAGAAGATAAAAATCAGAATACAATTAATTTGTGTTGTGAAATTCGAATTAGTGTTGGAAATATTCGAATTATTCTGTTGAAAAAAGTGAATTTTGCCCACCACTAATCACTGCGGGTGTCAAGACTTATTGAATGACAATCAAAATATCCACTTGATTCAGCATTAACTCTATCAATGATTTAACATTTGATCGATGCTACATGCGAGCTTGTTTTGTGCATATAAATTTAAGAAGATAAGTTTAAGAACCATTGGCATACATCATTCGTTTATTCTTTATATTCATTTTGTTTCTAGGTTGTCAAGATTCTACTAGGTTCTTGTTGTATTTCGTGTTCATTAATCACGTTTGTGCAAAACATCGATCGGTGTGTAAATATTTCACACTGGGCATATAGCGGTCGAGAGTGTGCGGCTACATATGTCTCTCTGACAAATAGTTAGTTTCCTCATAAAACAACGAAGAGCGGATGATTAGTGGATGTTTATCGAAGTCTGGCACAGGGCAGCCATCTGAACGTAAATCTTGAATTTTGCTGTAAATGACGCAAAATTTTTGGTTCTGTTAAATGCCATACAGCGTCGTTAATTGCACTTTTGGCGAACCGTTTCAAATTCTATGTAAACCCCCTTAAAAAAATCCTGGCTGCGCTCTTTGCACAATATTTGTGTGTTCAACTGGCAAAGAATTTTTCTTTTGGGATTGAAGTGGTAAAGTTACATGTCCCCTTATTGAAAATACTTACTTTTAGAATTTCTTTTGTTTGATTGATTTATAATGTCATTCCAAATTCTATTTTCATTAAGATTTGAGTGTTTGATATTCCTTTTCCGAACCATGACTCTTCGTGTTGGAGGTGGTCGAAAACTGCAAGGAAAATTATAACAATTAGAAAAATGCAAATGCATAAAAAATGGTGAACAAGAGCTGTTATTATAATGACTATATAATTTTACCCACCGAGATGAGATATTAATTTGGCTCTTTTGAATTTTGGAATGTTGATCTTAATAAGTTTCAGTGAAATGATGAAATAAAATATATTAGTCATACTAATTAACTGAGGTGCATATCCGAGCACTCGAGTCTAGTAGTGTTATTTTAGAATTGACTGGATAGCCTGGTGGTTTTATCTAGGATGAGTAGCTTGTTAACCAGTTTTGTTACATTTAAAATTTTTTTTACTATTACTTGATATTTTTGTCAAATAAACTATATATTTCAAACTCTGGTCTGTCCAATATTTCTTTAAGTGCATATGCCTATGTCTATCACTCTTGATATACAACATGGAATATTCTGATTTTAATTAAATAAAAATATTTCACCTTGAGTCATGGTTCGGATCGATTTGGTTCTGAAAAGTAAATACAAAGAAAATTTAACTACATACCAACAGGGATGAAGCACAGTTACAATGTACTATTAGAAGAACATTCTTGAATAAAATTCCAACACTAACCTGAAATTTATCTCTTTATACAAATAAACTAAGCCTACATACACACAAACTTTATATTGACCCGGGCTTAAAATATTGTATATAAGTCACTATTTAGTTCATTCAACTTTTAAAAACTGTAAAGAATAAAATAATTTCTGTATCTATTTCCATATCAGTTGCTGCTTCTATATGGCCACATTCGGGTAATGAATAGCTGAGATTTGAACATTTAGAACAGAGGTCGGCAACCTATGGCCCGGGGGCCGGATCCGGCCCGCACAGCAATATAATCCGGCCCGCGATGCTTCACTGAATTATAGTAACAGGACAGCTGTTTTGACAATTATATTCTTTACGTAACAAAATTTATTTTGGGACACGTGCAGACAAAATTATATTATTATAACCTAAAAAGTATATAATTCACAATTACGAGTTTAATGAGCCTATAATTTAAATATAATTAGCCAAATGGCAACAAAAGGCAGAAAAGTTTATGCTAAGTGCAAATGGTTTAATGGAGCAGAAAATATTCGAATTGTCAGTCTTCGCGCGCTGCTCAAAATTTAACTTCTCATCTGTGTGAAAAAGTGTGATTCATTGGGAATCTGTTCGGTTTTATACTTTCTAAAAATATGTGCGGCCCGCCAATGACTTGCAACCTCTAATTTGGCCCGCGAGCGATAAAAGGTTGCCGACCCCTGATTTAGAATATCGGAAAAAACTAGATAAGTGAAAAATAAGAAACAAAGTATTTTGCTTGCGCTATGTTATCTTGGTACTTTTTGGTATGTACTTACTTGGTATGTCCTTTTTGTTGCAGCACCTATCATGTCAAAAAAGGTAATGAAGTTTTATGGTATTCTGATGTAAAATTCCCAAGTCTTAAGTCTTGACACAGATTGTATCTTTGTATGATAGGGTAGAACTTAGAAAGTTTCAATTTACAGTATTATAAAAAATGCTCTTATCATACTACTGCTACATTTCTGAAACCGCAATTTCCAAAACATACAAGGTGAATTCAGTCTAATGTTGAATGCTTAACCAATGATAAAATCTTCAACTTTGTAACTATGGTTGCAGAAGACTAACTAACACATATGCTTCCTCTATGCCTTTACACTGGTGGTCTATGTATGCCTATAATACAAGTACGACATGACAAAAATAAGGATATCATTTTATTTGACATCAACAAAAATACTGGGTTAGTGTGCGACAAGACTCTTAGGACACATAAAGTGGAAGCTATATTCTCAAATAGTCATAAATGCAATATCTGTCCAAAAACATACAATATGTTTTCAGGTGGTATATTTATTGATGCTTCCACAATCACAATAAAATTCATTAACACAAAACAAAAACTTACGTTTGGTATATTTCATTTCACTGCATTCAGATGACAGCTAAAATAAAAATAATGAAATACTTATCGTTATTGTATATAAATCTCATAACTGCACATCAAAAAATTGTGAGTGGTCAAATTGTGTCGGACTGATGAAGACACAATTTATCTTTTTTCACATTTAGATTGGGTTTCAAAGCACGATGAATAGGAAAATGTGAGACGATCCCCCTTCCTTCCCAAAAAAAAGTTTTAAAGAAAGCATAACATTTGCACAAATCATCATTCAGATATAATCAAACACAAACAGAAATTAAATTGTTGTATAAGTTTTCTTTACTTGCGCAGAAGTAATTAAATAATTGATGGGTTCTGTTTTATTGGGTCACCTGGTACTTAAATAAACATGAAACTAGATCAGGTACATTATTATGTTCTACATAAGTTGTGAGTCAAAATTTGGAACGAAACTGAAAAACCATTTTATCAACATTTCAAAAATTTGCAACATACCGGTACTCTAATAAAAAGTTATCATTTATCAAATGTTAATCCGGTCAAAATTTAGTTATCTTGAAGTTAGGAGCTTGAGTCAGATTCTTTGAATCAAATTCTTATTTTTTGTTTAACCTGGGTCTGAGAGACACAGAGGCCTGGAATTAGAATTCAGATGAAACCTCCTAATTCTACATGTAAATACTAAAGGTTAGAACATTCAGAACACACAATCATGAGTCAAAACTATTTTGTCATAAAAAATTGTTTTCAAATTTGGCTTCAAAATATTTTATTGACTTAAACCATTATGCAGACATACCTCATCAGCACGTCTCTTCACGCCTTGGTTCTGAAAATCAAGTACACACTCTGGTCAAATGTTAGACTACTGATACATTTAGATATAATCATACACAAACAGCAGTAAGAGTGTCGAATAGGTTTCTTCTTTTGTGCAGAAATAATCAGAAAATTGATGTGTTATATTTATTGCATCACCTGGGCAAATGATTCGAATTTATCAAGTGGATTTCATGCAAGATTACTAAAACTAAAGCCTATCAGTTGATACTGCTATAAAAGCATTGGGCTAAACTGTGTTGGTATCGCAACATCTCTGATGCAAGTCATATATACACCACCTCACCCGGGATGTAATAAATTGGGTAAAATAAGGAGCTTTTCAACATAGTGACTCCTTACATCAGTGGTTCTCAAACGGAGCGGTGCAAACAATTTTTAGGGGATGGGACGCTAATTAAATTAGAAAATATTTGTTAAATTTGATCTTGCCGGTCTTATATTGGATATTTACATTTATCTATTTTTTAGAGATTACATAAAGCTGTTGTGCTTGTCTTTTTATTATCCTTAGCGTGGGGCATGTTCCAGAGTTCAACTTCATGCTGTTAGTTCACAGATTCTAGAACAAACTTCGCATTTCTATCTGTTATTGGTAGCTCATAGTTAGCTGGTTATTTTTGAGGTGGGGCGCGAGACTTCACAAATTCTAAAAACTGGCACGACTTGATAAGTTTAAGAAGCACTGCCTTACATATTGTTAGATATCAGTGGCTACCTGTACATTCATGGTGAATGAGAGTCATAAAAAAAACTTACTGTTAAACTCATTCGTTCAAGAACGACAACTGAAAAACAATAAAAATTTTAAATATATTGTAATTTTACAAGCACTGATTTCTGCAATTGATCTTGATGAACTTAAAAAAATGACTTGACGAATAGCAGCATTTATGAACATGTATGATGAGTTCAATTGGTAACACTAATTATCACTACACTGAATCCATACAGCCATACGTAAATGAAATATATAATATGTCAGAATATTGTGTTTAATAATTCCACTAGCTACTGCTATGATATGCAAAAAATGGTTGAAGTCAAGTTTTTTTTAATAATAGTAAAAACATACCTGGTGACTTTAGAAGCTTTATATCAAATGTCCCTCCCTTTTTCCTAAAAAGAATACAAATTTTCAATGGAATTTTAAAATGGAAAGTTATTCAAATATTGTTCATTGATATTTCAGAATGGGTTACTGTTTCTTTTGAAAAATTGGGAGAGTGATTTGACTTGACATCTTCTCCTTATACCATCTGACAACATTTGTCTCATCATTCCCAAGCCAAGTAATCTATTTATTTACTCAATTTACCTCCTCATTCTATCTCCCTTCTCATCCTCTTTCACCTAAAATTGTTCAATATTTTAAAAACAATCAAAAATAGACATTTTTGCGATTCTAACTGCAGATAACTTATTAATCAGGTATTCCTATTCTCTTGAAAATGAAAAACTGTTACAGAACATCCTGGTCCTACAGTCGCTAAAATACATGGAAATTATATAATCAAATATTTTCAATATAGTCAATTCTTCATTCCACAAATAACCCAGTAGCCACTGAACCTCACCTGGGTTGCAATGAATTGGGTAAAATAATGATCTTTTCAAAACATAGTAACTCCTCACATCAGTGGTCTACAAAAGGTCGGGTGCAAACAATTTTTAGGGGGGGTGACGCTAATTAAAATAGAAAATATTTGTTAAATTTGATCTTGAATGTCTTATATTGGATATTTACATTTCTCTTTTTTTAGAGATTGCATAAAGCGGTTGTGCTTGTCTTTTTATTATCCTTAGCGTGGGGCATGTTTAAGAGTTTCATGCTGTTAGTTCACAGATTCTAGAACAAACTTCGCCTTACTATATGTTATTGGTAGCTCATAGTTAGCTGGTTATTTTTGAGGTGGGGAGCGAGACTTCACAAATTTCAAAAAATGACACAACATAGGTTTATGAAGCACTGTCTTACATATATTTAGATATCAGTGGCTACTTGTACATTTATGATAAATGCAAAAATAAAAAAACTTACTGTCAAATTTATTCCTTTATGCACGACAACTGAAAAACAATAGAAATTTTGAATATATTGTAATTTTACAAGCACTGATTTCTGCAATTGATCTTGATTAACCCAATAAAATGACTTGACAAATAGCAGCATTTATGAACATGTAAAGAGTTTAATTGGTAACACCACACTGAATCCATACAGCCATACGTAAATGAAATATATAATATGTTGGAATATTGTGTTTAATAGTTCCAATAGCTACTGCTATAAAATGCAAAAAATGGTTGAAGTCAAGTTTGTATTTATAATAGTAAAAACATACCTGGTGATTTCAAAACATTCTTTCTTTCCCTAAGAAGAATACAAATTTTCAATGGAATTTCAAAATGGAAACATTCAAATATTCAAAGATTGTTCATCGATATTTCAGAATCAAATGGGATACCGTTTTTTGGGGGGAAATTGGGAGAGTGATTTGACTTGTCACCCTCTCCTTATACCATCTGACAACATTTGTCTCATCATTCCCAAGCCAAGTAATCTATTTATTTAATCAATTTACCTCCTCATTCTAACCCTCTTCTCTTCTTCCCTCCGCCTTCTCCTTTCCTTCACCTGAAAAAGTTTTATATTTCAAAATCATGCAAAATACACAAACATTAATGCGATTCCAAATGCAGATAACTTATTATTCCTATTTCTTCAAAAATGAAAAATGATAACCCAGTAGCCACTGAACCATGATTGTGAAGTTTTACATTGTTTTACAGCAATGGAGTCAGAAACAATTTAGAAATTCAGATTTTTGAAAGGTTGTGAGTCAAAATTTTGAACAAAACTGAAAAGCCACTGCAGCACTAACAGACTAACCATTACCACTTTTGCCATTTTAAAAATTTTCAAAGTAATCTAATGAAAAAAATTATTTATCTGTTTATCCAGTCGAAATTTGGTTATTTGGAATTAGGAGCTTGAGTCAGTCAGTCAGAATCCTGATTATTATTTTTTTTTTAACCTGGATCTGACAGCCAGAGTTCTGCAGTCGTTTTACTGAAAGACACAGGCAGACAGGGCCGGAATTCAGATGTACTGGATGAAAACTTCTAATTTTACATGTAAATATTAAAGATCATCAGCCAAAACTGTTTTATCATACAATCAAAAAATATATAAATCAATGAAAACGAATAGCTAAATCAGCTTTCAGATTAAAATTCCTGAGCAAGTTAAAAGTACTTTACCTAATTTAAATGCTGAACTTTTTTTAATAGGGTTAATACAAGTCATACATAAATCTAAAGGTACTCCTGAAGTATGCGCAACAAAATGTTGCATAACCTGATCCCTAACCTGGTACACAACCTGAGTTCACGCACGAAGCACTTTGAGAACCTATGACATAGATCAGCGTTTCCCAAACTGTGTTCCGCGGAACACTAGTGTTCCGCGAGCGTCTTCGAAGTGTTCCGTGAAAAAAGAATCAAAAATACGTCCAAAATGGTCGCCATGGCAATCTATGGAACGTGGAGTTGCCGCCCAACTGACCGGCAATATTGCGTCACCGTCGGTCTAAAGTGGACCAATTAGGGTGAGGTAGTGGAGTTTTTGATAACCGTCGCTATTCTTCCTTCATCTTTGACTGGTTTTACTTTACAATAATTTCTTATTTGGCCAAACTCTATTCAATAGATAAATAAACTGCAGCAAGTACTTCTATCTCCATTAGAGGCAAACACTATGTAATAGAAAGTAAACGACATAGAATGGTAAAATGAATGAATTGATTTATATACACAGTATTTAAATTAATCAACAATAAAACATTCATAATAATCAATATGCAAAATATTCAGTCCTTTTTTAGGTATGTTTAACCCAATTCTGTTAGTTGTCGCGGCGCATTTGGCAACTCGCAACTAGATTGCAGATTGAGTAGCGGTTACATTACACCGTTTTTCTTTATCAATTTTATCTTTTCAATTTTTAGTGTTCCGCGAGGCGAGATGAAAAGTGCAAGTGTTCCGTGGACGAAAAAGTTTGGGAAACGCTGACATAGACTATACATGCGGACATACACATACCTCTTCCACAATTTCTCTTCCTCTCGCCATTATCTGATTATCCAATTTAGTTATTTATATAGTACGGTAGTATGATAAGCTATACAAAAAAAGTTCATACGAAATTAACAATTAAGAACTATCAACTATACAAATTGAAACCGGCAGTCCGACAGTCTGACAGGGGTGAAATTTTTTCGAAAATCTAACAGAACCCAAGGATATTGGCACCATGGATTTATACAATTATACACCATACGGTACCTAAATTTCAGAAATACAAATAAAACTGACAGACTGACAATTAGTCCAAGCTAAAACTAGCTGGTCTAAATGATCATCGCCATAACTGAAAACCACCCGACTGATTGAAAAGGATCGCCACGTGTCGAAGGTGGGGGAAAAAAACGTTTCCCGGGGAAATAATGTTGTGTGGCGGGAAAATGTTCCATTGTTACGTCACAAAATAGTTTTAACCAAAATGCTGAGTGGAAACCGAGAGATATTTTTGCAACACAGTGTAATATCTGCGCGATGCTATCCAATTCCATTTTTGGTTGCTGAACTCACGTTTCCCCTTAAGTGCAAATGCTTGCCCTTTGGCCCGTTTTGTCTAAATTGAGGAAAGCGTAAATTATCTTCGACCTTGTCATTAACGGGCTAACTACGACCAGTGGTTCTCAACCTTTTTTAGTTTTTTGACGGTTAAATTTCAGAATTCAATTTGCATAATGGTGAACATTCAAAATTAACTCAAAAGTTGATAAAATAAAAACATGTAATTACGAATTAATTACAACAAAAGTCTGGAATAAAAATGCGACAATTCAATTAGATCGGGAATGCGCTACTGACTTTAAAACGCGGCCTAATGAAGTTTTTGCAGAGAGTGGACTAAAACACACGATTTATCTGCTTTGTCCTGATATAACGATGAAAAGATTTTCCAAAATAATATTAAATCAAAAGTAATTTAATGGCTTTGACACTGATCTCAGGACTAAGCACGCGGAGTTGGTACTTTTTCACTGTTAACAGCAATAGTTAAACCGAGCTGGAAGGATTTATTATCATACTTCCCAATCAAGTGTCTTTTCCGTTTTTGCTTGTTTCAGCGTAGTCTGCATGTATCTCAAGCTATGTTGTAAATTTAAAGTATGAGTTTCTCCTTGTGTCCTGTTAACACCACGAACTTTCTGCGTGGATTCGCAGGTGTGAATCCCATGCAGGGATGGTTATGTGCGAGAGGATTGCTGGACTCCTCGTCGCCTTGGGGTGGTTCACGTAACCGCTGGTCGGTTACGACTCCTCCACCACCAAGTCAATGCTTCCGAAAACAAATACCTAACTAATCCCATACACGATATGGAATGGTAACCGGACGAGAGGCTGTGGGTCGCCATATGGTTAAGCCGTATTATCGGCTTTCTTCTCCCCGGGGTAAATATGTAAATCCTATCGTATCCTAACTTGATTTTTACAGCTGGGTTTCTTCTCAAAAGAATTGGACAATACTTCGTTGTTTGCTTGACGCCATTTTGCTACCAAATTTCGTTATATTATATATACTGAAAATTACAGAACGCACGAGCTGGATTTTATATAATTTTTAAAGATTTTTGGCGTTTTCCGCATGCATAAGGTGGACTTGCGAGACTCGAATTTTTAAAAGTAAACCCTGCCGCAATTGAACGCAAATTAG